GGTATTTAATATATTTGTTGATATATAATTCACATAGCACAGAACTCAACCATTTAAAGTGTACAACACAATTGGGGTTGGGTCCAATAGATATTTGGATTCATTTTCAATCAGAGGAAGCAGCAATAATGGCAGCTTGGCTAATTTTTCCCTTCCTCGGGCCTCGGTTTTTCTCTATGGCTTCTGGTTTCATTTTCCCAAGCTTTGTCAGGACGCTAAACCAAACGCTTGTAGGCATCACTCAGCTGGCACCCGCCGTTGGGTCACTAGGGCTCAGCAGCGGGGGGAACCAGTGGAATACACAGCAGCGACACCCCCTCCCTGCCGCCTTCTGCTCCTGCAGGGGCGGACAGAAGCATGGAAGAAAGCCGGCGTGACCGCATGCGCCGAAGGGATGGAAAGCGCTGCCTTCCAGCTCTTCTTCACCCATGTCTATTCGGCAGGAGGAAAGAGGTTAGGAACGAGGTCCCTGAGGTATGAACAGGGTGAACCAAAGTGCCTCTGCGACGTTATGGAGGGGCTCCAGCAATGCTACTGAAGTAAAGAAAGTGTCCCCTGCCCGGGGCTGAATGGGGTAACCCGCCCCCCCCCCGCTCCCCCAGCTACTGCGATGCTCCCTTCCAATGGGCACACGTTTCTCCAAGGGGAGAGGCCTGAAAGGCAGTGTGAAGGGAGGGCCTTCTCTTCACGCCTGAAACCTCTGGGGGGACCGCAGTCCGAATTCAGCAGCTTCCTGCGGAACCTGATTGCTTTACTCTGCCAGGTGAAGAAGTCTGCAAAGAATTTGCATCCAGTTTTACACAGAAAAAAAAAAGGTCAATTAAAAAAGAAAAGCCAAGCTCTGGCCGGTGTGGCTCCTTTGGTTGGGTGTCGTCTTGAGCACCAAAAGGTTGCCGGTTGCATTCCCAGTCGGGGCACATGCCCGGGTTGCGGGCTCCATCCCCAGTGGGGGCGTGCAGGAGGCAGCCGATCGACGCATCCCTCTTGCATCGATGTTTCTCTCTCTCTCTCCCCCTTCCTCTCTCTCTAAAAAATCAATAAAAAATCTTTTTAAAAAAAGAAAAGAAAAGCCAATAAAAGCACTGCTAGAATCATGGTTTTATTTTCATGTTTTTATCCTCATGTTTTTTTCTGAAATATTGACAATAAATAACCTAAAATGACAATGCCCTTTCTTCTAGAAAATGACTCTTTTAATACAAAGTAAATGTATCATCTGAAAACAGTCTGCTACATGGTGGGAGAGTAGTAAGAGAGGCGAAAGATTTGCTGTGCAGCCACCCGTTTCCCTCTTGGGGGGCACCTTTTCCTCTTACATACCCACAAGTTCAAGAACTGTCTGCCGTCCAATTCCATTTCCCACAGGCAGAGCCCCCCCGGGGGGGTGATGCCCTCAGCCAGACTAGGCAGAGGGCATGTTCTGCTTGTCGAATCCAGCCCTGCCTGTCAAATGGATAGGCCTTCCTCTTCCGAGAGTGAATGGGGGTCTAGAGTGGCTGGCCTTTACCGAGAAATCCGCAAATACTTCTCAGAACCTGCTAGCACGGACGGTGCCTACAAAACAGAATTAGACCCTTGCAAACCGGGTCATTTTACTGAACAGGCCATTTACAGTATTTCCTCCAGCATCACCTCTGCCTTCCAGCGATAGCAAACTTCACTCCTGCAAAAACGGAGACCCCCACGAGGAACGATCTAAGTGGAGCATTTTCGCTTCTGTTTTCCGTCTATGTTTTTCCAGTGTGAGCACTCAAGCAGGACTGAATGAGGAGGCGTGTTCGGAGTTGACACAGAGGACAGATTTTCTGTTTTCTGTGCCAAAACACACCAAAGAATTAGGTGCTAGGATGGAAAAATAAGTTCTCTCCGCTTCCTGATTGCTTTCACAGGCCTTCTTATTGTCTTTAACTTTCCTCTTGTAAAACACACACACATATTAAGAGAAATTACTGGTTTCTTTATTTATGCCTTATAATAACCTTTATTTCTCGGTTGTCACCGGAAGACATGACTGCCTTACTTGACTGGAACTCACTGCCCCGGGACACAAGAAAGAACTGGAAATTGTGGGTAGACCAAGCATGGCGAGGGTAAAATTAGCTTTCAAGCATGTGACTACCAGGAAAGTTATAAGCTGCCAGAATCAAGATATCATGGGTTGTCATCAGGGAGTACATCAAGCAATAATTCTTCTCAAATGGGCTCAAGATAGAAATTATGTCCGCTGCTCACAGTTGTGGAATGGCAACCCAGGAGGCTTTTCTGTTCCTGTAATCACTAAGCCTCACTCGCCAGTGCTAACATTTGAGTAATTACAAGGAAAGGCTGGGGTAAATCTGGTTCTTCTGATGGCCTTGGCAGCAACAAACGCCTGGATTTGCAAAGGTTTGAGAGAACAGGACAACATTATATTTATTGATCTTTGAGAGAGAGAGAAAGGAAGGGGGAGAGGGAAAGAGACATTGATCTGTTGTTCTACTCACTCATGTATTCATTGGTTGCTTCTTGTACGTGCCCTGACCGGGCACTGAACCTACAACCTTGGCATACTGGATAGTGTGCCAACCAACTGAGCTACCCTGCCAGGGCTGAGCAGAACTTCATAATAATTAATCACAGATAAAGCATAAAGCTCTGTCTCCAGTCAGCAACATCGGTAATCGTGGATGACAGGACTATTTGACTACTTCTATGCAGATGTAAACAGTGACCAACACTTGTACAGTTCTCGTGTACTTAAATAAATGTTGTTGTGACTCTGCTCCATGGGGGCTGGCAGGCGTAGGGAAGGCCAGAGAGGGGCAGGAGATGGGGAGGTGGTGTGGCACTCTCAAGTGAGGGAATGCACGATGTCTCCAGACATTTCATCGTGGGCAGCCGGGCAGTCCTGGACTGCTGAGCAGAGGGAAAAAAGTTAGCAAGAAACAATCAGAAGATAGTCATCTCCCATTCCAGTTGCCATGTGGCCCCAAAGATAAGGTACAGCTGGAAACAAAAGGCTGCAGAGGCAAACCAAGAAAGGCATCGCGGGACTGGAAAGAGTGCGAAGGACATGTGCACAGGATAGGACGCAACATGAGTGTGCCACAGCCGGGTAGAGCTTGAGTTGCAATCCTGGCTCCACCATTATTAGTCAGCTTGATGCTTTCTGCAAGTAGCAGAAACTTAGCTTCCTTTCTGGTGAAATGTGAATGGCAAGCTTCCGAGGAGGGCTATGCTGGTCGATGAGATCATGTATGCAAAGCAGTTAGCGCAGTAGCTGGTGCCGGGCAGGGGCACAGCCGCTAGTAGCTGCTGGTGAGTACCGTCTAATTCTATCACCCTGAGCAATGACTGAAAGACAGAGGACAGTGGGACTCACATCCCAAGCAACCCAAATAGGATACGTTAAATAAGGCAGCACGTTTGAGAAGTGAATTCATTTTCTAAAATACACAAGCAGCCTCTATGAATTCACAGAACTGGAGAGGCTCTCAGAAGCTTGGTCGAACTTCCTCATTTACGGATGGGAAAATTGGAGAAGGAAATGAAAAGGCTATTGCTGTTTGGATGTACAGGGGCCAAAAATATCTTTTAATTAAAGGAAGGTTAGTCATCATTTCTTTTATATAACACAAGGTGAAGGTGGCGTTAGAAAATTACAGTTCATAGTTTTATAAGCACACACACATATATATATACACATACATACATACATATACATACAAACAGGTTCTAAGTATTTTCGCCGCAAAAATAGTAGACTCTGTATAAATATACAAATGCATATATACCCATATTTCAGAAATAATAGAGCTAATCTGGAAAGACGCCTAGCAGAAAGTTATTCATAGCCTCCACTACCCAAGTTCACCCATTTGTAGAGTAAGCATACCCGATAAAATTCTTGGAAGCTTCATGGAGTCCTGAATGGAAGAGCTTCAGGAATAATACGGGGACTATAAAGGTTGTGCTTTCCCCAAACTACCACCGGGTCACTCACCTGTCCAAGAGCAAGTTGGGAGCAAACAGCAGCTTCCCCGGGTGCTCCATGGAGCGCCAGACAAGACCAATCATCAGGATCTCTAGCCAGGCACATTCCAAAAGGTGGACCTGGTCATGGAGGGTCAGATCCACAAAGCCTGAAACAAGACAAGAAAGACCCTGCTGACTTAGAATACAAAGTAGTCACTGCTGGTGAAAGGAACACAACCAGGGATTTGAACTGTTATGGTCTATTTTCTATGAGCCCTCACTATGAGCCAGAAGCAATGCTAAGTGCTTCTTGTGCACAATTTCTTTTAATCTCTTATTAACACAACAACTCTAAGAGGTAGGAACTGATGGGGTTACCATTTTACAGATAAGGAAATACATGTTCAGAGAGCTTATATAGTTGCTAAAGTCAGAAATGGGAATATCATCTCCAGAAGCTATGCCCTTGAGCACAATTCACACTATCTCTATGAGCTGCAATTAATTATAGACTTTGGCTCACAAGACCTAGTAAATCCAACCACACAAATTAAGATATGCCAGAATCGCAGAGGCATTAAATTAACAAGATGTCCACAAAGTTGGCTGCTTTTAAATAAGTTCCCTTGCTCTTTTCCCCTGAGGCATCCCAGAGAGTCTATTTCCTTCCTCGCTCTCTCTGCCCTCAACAACCTTTGCTCTCTCTGGTCCATGAGACTGGCTCTAGGAATAATCCCAATTTTCTGTGCCCTCGTCTTCATTTTCTCTTCCTAATATTATACTTTTATTAGCTACCTATGCTTATTTTTATTAAAAAGCCAAAATATAAGTTTATTTTCCCTAAGCAATCAAGTATTGATAGTTTGCCTACTGGGTGTTTCTTTTGGGGGGGTGTCTTGGGGCTATCACAGGATCAGCATTAAACAATTAGCTCATCATTTCTTATATATTTAAATGCCATCTTTTACATAATCCTTACTGCCAAACAGGTGATGTTCCACGTAGGCAAACATATATAATGTAAGCTAGAGAAAGGCCTTAGAATCTGTGACCCCTCCAGCTCTTATCCCATAATCAAGCCTCTTCAATTCTATTTTTGAAGAAATGCTGAAGTTCTTCTTCTCCTTCCTATATTCCCACTGTTACCATATTAATTCAATTCACAAGAGTCTCTCACTTTTTTGTCTGACTTCTTTAACTCAGCAAAATTATTCTGAGACTTATCCATGTTGTTGCACAGATGAATAGTTGACTCTTTTCATTGCTGAGTGATAGTCCACTGCATGGATATATCTAATAAATAAATACAATTTGCTTAATTTTTCATGGAACATTTGGGTTGTTTCCAGTTTGGGGTTATTATAAATATAGCTGCTAAGAGCAATCTATGTACAACTTTTGTATGGACATGTCTTCATGTCTCGAGTAAATACAGGATGGGACAAAAGCAAGTTTACAGTTATGAGAATGCAAAATGGAGTTTATTCTTGTATTATTATTTATTAATTATTGTATTATTTTCCATATGAACTACTGTAAGCCTACTTTTGCCCCACCCTGTATTTAAGAGTATGATAGCTGGATCATAAAGCAGGTGTATGTTTTTAACTTTCTAAGAAACTGCTAAACTGTTTGCAAAAGTGACTGTTGGGTCGAAATGGACTAGCCTGGCTCTGGAGGAAACACTGCTGGAGGCAGGAGGAAATGCTTGGTACCCAGTGTCCACTGGGATAAACCCCTCCAGGGAGCAGTACTGATCGGGAAAGCTCTCAGGGAAGCTTTAATTCTCTAATATTTCACCCCAGTCTTTCGGGTGAAGTCTCATAATAACAATGTAAATTCACCCTGTAAATTAAATTCATTTTCAGAAATGTTAACATTCAAAAGTGAGGTCTTTTCTTTCATGACATTCACTGTTTGGGGTGGAAAAAATGTAACCATGTGATCATTTCACCCCTGATCAAACCCACACAGTGTCTCTCAACACCCTCCATACGCCTGGAATAATCACACAGGATGAGATCTGGGGTTGTCACTCGAGAGAACTGCAGCTGGCCATGGAGCCAATCGGTTTGGGAAAACCAAAGAAGCACTTTCTGGTGGCAACCTCAATATTAAACTGAATCATACTTTTAATTCCCACTTCAAAACTTCAGTGCTGTTTCAGCCAGACAGTTTTAGTGGTCTTTGGATAGCCTCAGGAGCTCACCATGACCATTGCCCCACGCAAGTCTGGCGATTATGAAATCTGTCTGAAGTACGTCTGTTGGTAATAATTTTCAGTCTGAGTCCAGCAGAACTGCCGATCCTTCTGATGCAGACCTCTCAGAAAGAAATAGTCTGATTACCTTCCCTATCTGTGCATATTGTCTGCAGACAAGCGTTAGTGTGTCTTACGACAGCGTCCTCTTTAAGTTCCTAGGGGGAGCAAAGGAGACTGTCAACCTCGATGAATGTGAGGGTGACTGACGGAAGTTAATAGAGGGAGTGTCTGCTTTCTTCCAATGTAAGAAAGGCCTCAATATTATTTTCACCACACAGGAGCTAAATACCCTTTAGGTGTGGAAGAAATATCCATTAATCCTCCCAATTTATAACCAATGAAGACAAATAATACAATAAATTTCAAACAAAATTATATTGGGCCAACTAACTACCTATAGACATCAAGTTTCAATCCCTTGACTGATTTTCCTTACAAACAGAAAGAGATCTAATATGCAATTTCAACTGATCCGCTGTGATAACTTAGAGATAGTCAACAATGCCTCCCTCGTACACTTGAAAGTGTTGCCAGTATAAAGGTGGGAGCTAGCAGCATCTATAGGGTATGAATAGAGGCATCAGTGACAGGTGACACAGTGAGAAGTGACTCATCCCCCTATCACTTAGGGACTCCCATCTTAGACAGTGACAAAGGGGCTGTATGGCTGTGGAATCCACACCAGTGGGACAGAACACATACCTAAAAAGTAGTAATAATAGTTGATTGAAACCAAGTGAAATCAGATACAAGGAAATCTCACTTTCTAAGACTTTTTTTTTTTTAAAGTGAACATAGGTATTTTTTTCTAGTCTTACTTACAGGTCCAGTAATAGAGTATCCAGAGATAGAATATTCTGGAAACAACAGACATGCCTCAAATCCTACTTCCCACCCCGTGTGGGCAGGGATCGTCCACAGAAAAGACCCTCCATGTACATACAACCACTCATTCCCAGCCTCATCACCAAGGAAAGGCATCCTGCTTCTGTCCTCCATTAAAGAATAATTGTACTTCCTTAAAGATTTTTAACTAAGTTTTAACTTGAAAGGAGCTCATGTCACGTCTTCCCCCTCCCCTTGGGCTTGGCCAGGCCCTCAGCCCTCTTCCTCCCTCTGCCAGGGGCTGCCATACAAACTGCTCAGTTGGCCTGGGCCCAGAGAAGATCCTTAAAGCCTCACCCTCTCTTGCTGGGTGTGGTAAGGGGCTTAGAAACGATGTCGAAAGGTGTGCAGAGATCCTTAAGCAAAGTGACTAACATAATGTAAAAGCCTGTAAAGTTCTGCACTGCTGTGGAGTAAGAGATAAACCAGAGTGGCTCTTCAGTAGAGGCATGAAAAAAATAGGCACTACAGTAATGATATTTCTTGTTTGCGTGACATCCAATCCATAGAGATGCAAACCAAAGTAGAAACCCTGTAAATAAAAAAATAAAAAAACTCTCCTCAGGGAGTGCTATCTATAAAACTAGATGCCAGGTGGTTGGTTCCCTTAGTAAATCCACTGGGGGAAAAATACTAGTTTCCTGACCTTCAAAAAAATTAATTGTGTTCTGTCTAAAGATGACCCCAATGTTCTCCAAAATGTCATTTATGAAATTGCCCAGTGCATTCCTACTGCGTTGCCTTAACTCAATGGAAGACGTAAATAATTCAGCTTTTTCCCCAGATGTCTAAGACTCTGCAAAGGTAGAACAAGTTTAAAAGAAGGAAGGAGGGAAGGAAGGAGGGGAGGGAGAAAGGGGGGACGGACGTGAGATTATAGCATTGTCGGCTACAAGCTGACTGAAGTGTGGGATCCCTGGGAGAAAGCCTACTGAAGAGAGAATATCAGAACCACCTAGAACCCAGTTCAAATGCTAAGCAGCCTTCTTAGCCTCCATTTTGTAATTTTTTCCTTTTTCTACAGAAAATAGGAACTTAATGCCGTACTACAGACCATGCATTCCATGATGTAGTGGAATATGACCTTCCCCCATCAAATAAATCTTGGATTTTCGTTTCTTTTCTTTTTTGATCTTTATTACTGAGAGTATTACAGATGTCCCCTTTTTCCCCATTGCCCCCCTCTACCCGGTTCCCGCCCCCCCACACCATTGCCTGTGTCTGTGGACAGTGCGTATATGCATGTAAGTTCTTTGGCTAATCTCTTCCCGCACCCCGTCCCTCTGAGATTTTCTTTCATATGCAAGTCCCATTGCAGAGAGGCCCATTAAAACCTCGATTCCCACTCTGTAAGACTTACAGATGTCTCCAATAACGTAAGAGCATCAAAATATTCTTCTTCAAGAAACAAGTTTAACCTATTTAAACAAATAATGTCATGTACTACTCTTACCAAGTATGTACCACTGCTACAAAATAAAATAATGGTAATAGGGTATCACTAGTTTAGAAATATTGTGAGTCACAGCGCAGGAGCCGTGTCTATCCCGGCGTCCCTCTACTGTAGTGACGGGCAGTGTGCGCAGGCTCCCTTCTGGCACAACACCGCCCAGCCCAGCCCAGGCTCTTAACTAAATATCCACCTTGCCAATACCAAGCAGATGCTTTCTTGAGGCTACAACAGTCCCCATCCTCAGGCTTTATTACACAAATACCCCTTAGAAAGATGATCGTGTGTTGAAACAATTACAGGTATGTTCAAGTCACCTCCCAAAGTAGGACTTTTTGATTGTCTGCAGGGCACCTCCCCCCAAAAGGAATGAGAAGGGTGGAAATATGAAAAGACTATGGACTGATAAGTCAAGCAGACCCGGCCTGAAATTCTCCTCTGGCCCATGGCCAGTTACTTAAGATTTCTGAAAGCCCTTCCATCTGTATAATGCAGATGGACTGACCTCTCACTAGGGTTACTGTAAAAATAAAGCCGTTAGCAGATGTCCCTGAGTACCAGAGTCACTA